GAGAGGGCGTGATGTTAGTTTCTAGATGAACAGTTTCAGAACTGATTTTGAGGTTCATGAACTTCAGATCAAGCATTAGCTTCTCATAAGGAGCATGCAGCCTAGATCCTCGCATGTGCAGTTCACGATACGGTCTGTGCTCCTATGAAAATCTAATGCTGCCACTAATCTGATAGGTGGCGCTCAGACTATAATGCTTGCTGGCCCACTGATCACCTCCTGCTGTGAGGGGGCCCTGGACTTGAGGACCCCTGATCTATACGATTTGTATTTAAATGTTTTTCCTTTTATGGCCAAATTTTGGTAGCAGTAGAGAGTGTAGTATTATAAAATATATACCCACCATGTCATTTCCATAACACTTCCCTAAGAGGAAGGGTCTTCCAAGGCACTGCTGAGGCCCCAGGGAGCTGCAGGGACTCAAAGGGCACCTTGGTATACTTTAAATGTTCAAGGAAAATGTGCCAGCACTTGTTAGGTACTGACAAGTGCTACTATTAAGGACTACTATTAAGTCATTTGGAGATGATTACTCAATAAAATGAATAGTTAGGTATTGATTTCAAAGGCCTAGGGTGCTGGGGGCCAGTTGGCAGGGGATGACTCTAAAGCATCATAAACAGAGTTTGTGACCTTCTGTGTTAGGCATTCCTTTCAAAGCATGTGGTTTGGTTTAGCTGGGAAACTGGAGGACACATTAACCCGGGGAATGACCTCTGATAACTAATCACTCTTCTCTATCCTCTCTCCGAGAAGAATCTGGGAAACAACACATCTGGGTAATAATATGCATACTGTTTTAGAGACAAGGAGAAAAAAGCACTTTTATTTTCTACCAGCAAGAACCCAGTATCTTTCCACAGAGGTCGACCTGAAACTATTCAGTCTGGGAGAAAAGCTATCTGGCCTAATATTTAAAAGTAAGTGAAAGCAAGGCATGACATGTTACTATGTAACTGTGGATTCCCAACAAAGATGTGAACAAAAGACAAACATTATTACACATGGTGAGGTTCTTCACATAGCTACGGAGACCAGGGAAAATGATAGTTCTAGATCATTCCAGCCCCCATTAGAGTCTCAGGGGGAGGCTTCAGTAACTTTGGTTTTCGTAATTGATAATACTCACATGAACTACTTTAGTCCTAGGCAATCTTTAAACATGCAGAGCCCTGCTTTAAAAAGCCAAAAGCAAAACAAAAAGCCTGTCCTCTAACCCTAGAAATCCAGATTATGGTCTCCAGAGGTCATTTCTTATGAAACATAGGCTGGGCTGCCTGGAGAAATGGTTCATTCCACGTCTGGGGCAAGAAAGAGACAAGATGAGCCTAGAGCATCTTGTCATACCAGACAGTAAGAAAGTGATCATAGACTGGCTGGGCACAGTGGCTCACGCCTATAATCCCAAAACTTTGGGAGGCTGAGGTGGGGATCATGAGGTCAGGAGTTTGAGACCAGCCTGACCAACATGGTGAACCCGTCTCTACTAAAAATACAAAAACAGCTGGGCATGGTGGCGCGCGCCTGTTGTCCCAGCTACAAGGGAGGCTGAGGCAGGACAGTAACTTGAACCCGGGAGGTGGAGGTTGCAGTGAGCTGAGATCATGCCACTGCACTTAGAACAAGCAGCAGACAGCAACTGGGTCTATCTACCTGGAGATAGAGTCAGATCCCACAGGTTAAGGGCTCAGCCCTCAAAAGTGTTCCCTCCCCGCTCCGACACACTGCAAGTCTGGGCCTCAGGAGCTTCTGACCAACCAGCCTTCAAGTTGAGGCTCCCATGGCATTTTGGACTCTGGATCCGATTACTTTGCTACGGCAGCTCACAGAACTCAGAGAAACCATTACTAAGGTTTACTGGTTTATTATAAAGGTTACTGCAAAGGATACAGATGAAGAGATTCATGGTTACGGGGGAAAGGCATGGAGTTTCCATGCCCTTTCTGGATGTACCACCCTCAAGGAACCTCCAGGTTCCTAAGGATGATCAGCTTTCCTTCCCTGAGGGTATGAGGCTGGACTATCTCTAGGCAAGGTCTTAAGACCCACAGTTAGAAAGGAAGGGAGATTAGAATCCTGCCTTAGGGTAGGAGTAAATCAGAGATTCCTTAGGGCCGGACACACCTAGGGTAGACAACCAAAGACTAACAATGGCTATGAAGTTGTGAGTCAGGAACTGTGGATGCATCTCCTTCCCTTTCATAACACCACAATATCAAAACAAGCACCTGCAATATGGGCATTATTCTCTGCTCTGACATAATTCTAAAAGATGGTGGCTTTATAAGCCCTGAAACTTACAGAGAGATTATGTGCCATGAAACTTAGAAAGAGGTTCTGATGTATTTTGTTTCACAACTTTATTGGTTCCTCAAACTTAAAAATCTCAAACCTTGGTTACATTTTTCATAAGTTCAGTAGGACACTAATTATGGAGTTTTTTGTTTTGTTTTAAGAAAAAGCAGGAAAAAAATATATAGATAGCTAAACACCAAACAATTTGCATTATGCAAAAGTTAGCATGTAAAACAGGCCGGCCACAGTGTCACGACTATAATCTTAGCACTTTGGGAGGCTGAGGCAGGTAGATCACCTGAGGTCAGGAGTTTGGGACCAACATGGCCCAACTGGGAAAACCCCGCCTCTACTAAAAATACAAAAATTAGCCAGGCATGGTGGCAGACACCTATAATCCCAGCTACTCAGCAGGCTGAGGCAGGAGAGAATCACTTGAATCGGCGGGGGTGAGGTGGGGGGTAGCGGAGGAGGTTGCAGTGAGCCGAGTTCATGCCACTTCAGTCCAGCCTGGGTGAGACTCAAAAACAGTTAATGGGTAAAATGAACAAAGAAAAATACCTGACAACTCAGAGAAAAGGGGAAAAATTCCTAAACCAGTAATTTAATCAAAATCACACCAAAAATTTTGAGTAGATATTTCTTTGAAGAGAGTTATAGACCCAGGAGTGATTTTTTAAAGGGGATGAATAGAACACGTGATTACTTTAATGCATACACAGAATTCTGCAGACTCCCAAAACGAGCCTCCTCAGCATCTGGTGTGCCAGGTTTTGTGAATCTGGTCATGGCTGTCTATCAAACCATTGCTCATGCATATTTGATTGAACTCAAGAAATGTGTGGTGAGCATATAGGAAAACTATTCGTGCATAACATGCTTTTTTTTTTTGAGATGGAGTTTCGCTCTTGTTACCCAGACTGGCAATGGCGCGATCTCGGCTCACTGCAACCTCCGCCTCCTGGGTTCAAGCCATTCTCCTGCCTCAGCCTCCAGGTAGCTGGGACTACAGGCACGCACCACCATGACCAGCTAATTTTTGTATTTTTAGTAGAGACGGGGTTTCACCTTGTTGACCAGGATGGTCTTGATCTCTTGACCTCGTGATCCACCCGCCTCGGCCTCCCAAAGTGCTGGGATTATAGGCTTGAGCCACCACACCCGCCTACATGCTTTAAAAATCCCACAGAGTTCTCAGTAATACAGCAGCTTACACCTATATATTTCATACAAACTCTGTAATTGTTTCATTCTCATTTTATACACAAGTAAAGTGAGGAACAGGCTGGATGATTTTGGGAAGGTCAGAGTGAGCAAGTCACCAGAAAAAAAGATAAAACTCTGCTCTAGTATAAATGTGACCTCCTACCGTTTGTGTTCCTTTCACATGTCCAGTCCATTCTGTCCTGTCTGATCCTATCTGTTTTGACCCACCCATCCTGTCCTGTGCCACACAGTGACAAGTCATCCACTGCCATCATTTTCACTAACCGTGCATGGAGCACTTCCTGGTCCTGAGCATGACATCAGGTCCTATGCTGAAAACAGTTACGATGGAGACACCAAGGACTTATACCTTCATCTTACCATGAACCAGGAAATTTCAAGAAAATCTACATAAAGTCCATATGTTTTCATGGACTCTTCCAGTGAAGACACATTTTCAAAGATCTTTTTTTTTTTTTTGAGACAGAGTTTCGCTTGTTACCCAGGCTGGAGTGCAATGGCACGATCTCTGCTCATCGTAACCTCTGCCTCCTGGGTTCAAGCAATTCTCCTGCCTCAGCCTCCTGAGTAGCTGGAACTACATGCGTGCACCACCATGCCCAGCTAATTTTTTGTATTTTTAGTAGAGACAGGGTTTCACCTTGTTGACCAGGATGATCTCGATCTCTTGACCTTGTGATCCACCCGCCTCAGCCTCCCAGAGTGCTGGGATTTAAATTCTTTTACTAAGAATATATACTTAGGGTAAGTTATGAAGACATAATAACCTTGTAGTTTTTTTTACCTACCTGTAAACATCACATTTCAGTTTATCTTCACATATAAAGTGAGATAACATAATGTCATACAATGCAGAAGTGATATCTAGAATAATATACCATGGTTTAATAATGCAAGCTTAAGATACATAATTATGGTAAGGTACATATACTATCTGTAATATGTTTTAAAATAAAACAGAGTTGAGCCACCTACATGATAATGTCCTGAAGAAAAAAGATACATTTCATTTCACTTTATTATTATTATTATTTTTGAGACGGAGTTTCGCTCTTGTTACCCAGGCTGGAGTACAATGGCGCGATCTCGGCTAACCGCGACCTCCGCCTCCTGGGTTCAGGCAATTCTCCTGCCTCAGCCTCCTGAGTAGCTGGGATTACAGGCACGCACCACCATGTCCAGCTAATTTTTTGTATTTTTAGTAGAGACGTGGTTTCACCATGTTGACCAGGATGGTCTCGATCTGTTGACCTTGTGATCCACCCACCTCGGCCTCCCAAAGTGCTGGGATTACAGGTTTCATTTCACTTTAAAGTTAAATGAATGTTTTGATAACGAAGATGAATCTTTTGATAACTAAGCAGCTCATGAGTATGTTTCAATAACAATAAAAATATAGCAGACACTAGAAACATTTAAAGATCATCATACAGCAGAGGTGTGGGTAAGATCTCTACCGTAAGTGACATCATACCTACCGTATTGTCATTGCTGGTGACGTAAACCAGGACATCGGAGGAGTTCCTGCCATTTATGTATCGGTAGCAGTTCCAAACACAACTAACCAAGTAACCCTGAAAATGAGGAGTGATTATCAGATTTTTAATTTTCAAACTGTAGGTAATTTCAAATACCACACAGATAAAGCCATATTATAAAACTTTTATTGACGTAAGCAATAAATTCACATGTTGTAACAACTCTACTAAACCAAAAGTCCTTAAAAGTACAAATATTGGGTATAGTAACTTCTTGGCACGGTGCTACTGGAGCCGTATTCTATCACACCAATGGGGGTGCCTGGAGGGTACTGCGGGAAGGTGGCAGGGAGAGGGGTTGAGAATTGAACAAGAAATTTCTAAGACTAGGTGTCTGGAAAGAACTAGCACACAATTAATATTATCGCTCCTGAATTCACAGAACCATCGAATGTATTAATCCATTTATCACCATACTTTAACTGCTTCTTTGGAAATTTTTATTCTACATGATTATCTGCAATTTTATTATACAACCAATTTTGTTTATAAAATTTCATAGCATATAAATTTATCTCAGTCAATAAAATTCACTAAAACATTTCCCTTTTATTAATGAAATATCTGACAAAGATACTTAAAAATAATGTCCAAAATAAACACTGCTTAGAAATAAAACATGAGTTCACAGGAGATGCTTAAGCTATGAGCTCTGTACTTTCATTGCATCATTTGTAATTGGATTATCTAAATACCTTAACATTAAAATTCACTGATTAAAGAAGTTTAAACACATACAGAAACTAGATTGCTAAAATCCAGGAAATACACTGCTTATGAGAATGTAAAATGGTTGTAGCCACTCTGGAAAAGTCCAGCAGTTCCTCAAAAGGTTAAACAGAGTTACAACATGATCTAGTAATTCCACTACTAGGTACTACATATATAGTACATATATATATATATATGTGCATATATATTATACATATACATATTATATACCCAAGAAAATGATGCATCCACACAAAACTTGAACGTTCACAGCAGCATGGTTCATAAAAGCCAAAAAGCAGAAGCAACCCAAATGTCCCTCAGCTGACGAATGGAGAGGCAAAATGTGGTACCATCTATACAATATGGTATAACAGCAATAAAATAAAGGGGTCGGGTACGGTGGCTCGCACCTGTAATCCCAGCATTTTCAGAGGCCGAGGTGAGTGGATCACACGAGCCCAAGAGTTCTAGACCAGCCTGGCCAGCAGAGTGAAACCCTGTCTCTAATGAAAATACAATAATGAGCCGGGCATGCCTATAATCCCAGCTAGTTGGGAGGCTGAGGAAGGAGAATCAATCGAACCGTGGAGGCAGAGATTGCAGTGAGCCAAGATCGTGCCACTGCACCTCACTCCAGCCTGGGTAACAGAGAGAGACTCCGTCTCAAAAATGAAATAATAAAATAAAAAAGGCAACATATTGTATCTGCATGAAATGCCCAGAATAGGCATTCTCAAGGGACTTTGCAAGGCCACATGCATTCACTTATTACATACTCCGAAGAAGAAAAATGTTGACCTGCTGTCTGTAAAGCCCAGGTACTTTTTTCATTGACCTGATTTCTTATTTAACACTTCTGCAATATTGAATTAGAACTATTTAGTGTATTTCCAAAATTAACTGGCACTGATATAGTCTTCCCATCATCTATCTGCAGTTAGGTCCTTTTCTGTCAGGACAGAGCAAAGCTGACAAGTGTCTTGTTTGGGAGCTTCAAAGAATCGTTGTGGTGGTAACATGTATCACAGAATAAGAGCAAATTTTGGTGATGAGAGGCATTAATCCAGTGAACCGATATGTGAAACCAAAACATGCATATGCCTATTTAAAAGTAACAATTACTGAGTCTTAGCCAGGCGATGTGGTTCACGCCTATAATCCCAGCACTTTGGGAGGAGGCGGCAGGGGAATCACTTGAGCCCAGGAGTTCCAGAGCAGCCTGGGCAACATGGCAAAACCTCATCTTTAATAAAAATGGAAAAATTCGGCCAGGCGTGGTGGCTCACGCCTATAATCCCAGCACTTTGGGAGGCCGAGGCGGGTGGATCACGAGGTCAAGAGATCGAGACCATCCTGGTCAACATGGTGAAACCCAGTCTCTACTAAAAATACAAAAATTAGCTGGGCATGGTGGTGAGTGCCTGTAGTCCCAGGTACTCAGGAGGCTGAGGCAAGAGAATTGCTTGAACCCAGGAGGCGGAGGTTGCGGTGAGCAGAGATTGTGCTATTGCACTCCAGCCTGGGTAACAAGGGCGAAACTCCGTCTCAAAAAAAAAAGGAAAATTTCACCTGGGTGTGGTAGTGTGTGCCTACAGTACCAGCTACTACTGGCCAGGCAGGAGGATCACCAGAGGACACAGAGGTGGCAGTGAGCTGAGATCGCACCAGGCCACTTCTCTCCAGACTGGGGCACAGAGGGAGACCCTCTCTTGAGAAAAATAAAAATAAAAAAATAAACTAATAATTACTGAGTCTTTATGTGCAAGGCATCAGTTTAGTGCTAGGAGGGATGTAAAAATGAAGGCACTGGCCAGGGCCTGCTGGCTCACACTTACAATCCCAACACTGAGGGAGGCTGAGGCAGGAGAATTACTTGAGGCCAAAAGTTTGAGACCAGCCTGAACGACATTAGTGAGACCCCCTCATCTATAAAAATATTATATAATATATAATAAAAATACATAAAATAAAATTTTATCACACACACGTACACATTTCTCCCAGGTTGGAGACATTGCTGTGAACAATTTGTATGGTGCCATTTATGAGATAATATTTGTGTTTTGCAACTTATAAAAGCAACATAGGGCAGGTTTTTCTTGTTCACTACCAAACCCCAGTACTAGAATAGAGTCTGCCACATGAGAGCTTCTTAATAAATATTTGCTGAATAAATGTGTAATGCACCTTCCCATCCATTATCTCAGTCATGCTGCAGAATGTATTAATTAGTATTGCTATTTAGTAAATAAAGAAACCAAGGCTCTGCCCACAAACCTAAAGGTAGTACTCATAAAACTGAAAAATAACTAAAAGAGTATAACTAAATGCTTGAGGGGATGGACACCCAATTTTCCATATTATTCTGCACTGTATTAAAATATCGCATGTACTCCATAAATATATACACCTACTATGTACCCCCAAAAAATTTTTTTAATTAAGTGTATTCAAAAATATCTTTTAATGTCTATATTATTAATATTATATTTTATTTTGCTATGGTTTTGCTAATTTAGACTATATGACTAGTAATGATAAACATGGTTATACCTTTATAAATAAATAAAAGTCATAGTGATAGAAGCCAACCCTAGGTCCTCTGACTCAAAGTCTGATGTGGGTATTTCAGGTAAGTTCAAGTGCAACTATTTAAAAGATTTTAAAAGCCTGTTTAAAGATAACTGGGCCAGGCATGGTGTCTCACATTTGAAATCCCAGCATTGTGGAAGGCCAAGGTGGGCAGATCATGAGGTCAGGAGATTGAGACCATTCTGGCCAACATGGTGAAGCCCCTTTTCTACTAAAAATAAAAAAGCTTAGGCCATGAAACCCCGTCTCTACTAAAAATACAAAGATTAGCCGGGTGTGGTGGTGTGCACCTGTAGTCCCAGCTACTCAGGAAGCTGAGACAGAAGGATGGAAGGAAGGAAGGAAGGAAGAAAGGAAGGAAGGAAGGAAGGAAGGAAGGAAGGAAGGAAGGAAGGAAGGAAGGAAGGAAAGAAAATTGGGGAGATTATAACTTCCCAGTTTCTGGTAGTGGCACAGTTAGCTCGGTCAGACAAACCTTCCTGCAGCAAAGATTTTTAAAATCTAGAAAAATTGAGGCGGTCATGCAGGCAGCGGACACGGGAAGCCAGATTCAAGGCATCATGTACTACAAATTTAGTGGCTTCATGCAGAAGTTGGTGGGAGCATGGGCTTCGGAGGCCTATAGCCCTCAGGGAAAGCCTGTGGTTTTCACAGAAGCACCACTTACCATATTTGCCACACCAACTAAACTGACCTCCAATTCCACAGCATAGGATTATGCTGGGAAAAACAAAGTTCCAGAGCTGCAGAATTTTTTCCAGAATGCTGATGGTACGCTCATCCACCCAAAATGAGGCCTGCCTGACCAAATACTTAACCAACCACCATGGTGCTGACCATCGGAGAGATCATCTCCTGCCTGATTGCCCTCTAAGTGGCTTCGCAGCCCAAAAGCAAATGTTAGGCTGCAGAGGACTGGTTGTTTTTTGGCATAAACCCTTTGAATTTTCCTTTTCATTGTTAATTTAGTTTTTTATTTTTATTTCTTTTGAGATGGAGTCTCACTCCTTCACCCAGGCTGGAGTACAGTGGTACAATCTTCGCTTACAGCAAGCTCTGCCTCCTGGGTTCCAGTGATTCTCCTGCCTCAGCCTCCTGAGTAGTTGGGATTACAGGTGTCCACCACCACACCCAGCTAATTTTTGTATTTCTAGTAGAGACAGGGTTTCACCCTGTTGGCCAGGCTGGTCTTGAACTCTTGACCTCGTGATCTGCCTGCCTCCGCCTTCCAAAGTTCTGGGATTACAGGTGTGAACCACCAAACCTGGCCTAAAAAATTTTTTTTACTTGGATGGCTTAACATTTTTGCAAGAAAAATAGGAGAATATGAGGACAATATTTTGGTTTGTTTATGAAAGGCATACAGCTTGCCAGAGCTCATTTGACAGTTAAAGCCATTGTTTAAAGAAATGGTGCAAGGCTGGGCACAGTGGTTCACTCCTATAATCCTAGCACTTTGGAAGGCCAAGGCAGGTGGATCAGGAAGTCAGAAGTTTAAGATCAGCCTGGCCAAGATGGTGAAACCCTGTCTCTACTAAAAATACAAAATTAGCCAGGCATGGTGGCAGGCACCTATAATCCCACCTACTCGGGAGGCTGAGGCAGGCGAATTGCTTGAACCAGGGAGGTGGAGGTTGCAGTAAGACACGATTGTACCACTGCACTCCAGTCTGGGCAGCCTGGACAGCCTGGACAATAGAGAGACTGTCTCAAAAAAAAAAAAAAAAAAAAAAAAACCACAAAAAAACAACGAAAAAAACCTGGGGTCCACTGTTACTTGGGCTGGAGTGTAGTGCCGCTATTGTAGCGTACCACGGCCTCACATACTGGACTCAAGGGATCCTCTCACTTCAGTCTCCCAGAGTGTTGCCATCACAGGTGTGAGCTATCTCACCTGGTCAAATGATTTCCAATGAACCACTGTGTTTCTACTCCTTTTCATCATAGTACCTATATGAATTTTCTGCCTTAATGCAGCTTTCCAAAGTTTACTGAGGAATGATTTTTGAAGAATGAGGTAATTTTATGCCAAGATTAAGACAATGAAAGGCATTGAGATTTGAAAATTCAAAGCATGCTCATCGCAGTGGCTCACACCTGTAATCCCAAAACTCTGGGAGACCAAGGCAGGAGGCAGCCTAGGCTACATGGAGAGACCCTGCCTCACAAAAAATAAATAAGAAACAAGAAAAGGAAACAACAGTTCAAAGCATAAAGAACCAGGGAGTTTTCTACATTTTAGTAGCTCACGAGCACAAGTTATCGTAATTTTTTTTTTTTTTTTTGAGACGGAGTTTCGCTTTTGTTACCCAGAATGGAGTACAATGGCATGACCTCCACCTCCTGGGTTCAAGCAATTCTCCTGCCTCAGCCTCCTGAGTAGCTGAGACTACAGGCGCGCGCCACCATGCCCAGCTAATTTTTGTATTTTTAGTAGAGATGGGGTTTTACCATGTTGATCAGGATGGTCTCGATCTCTTGACCTCAGGATCCACCCACTTTGGTCTCCAAAGTGCTGGGATTATAGGCGTGAGCCACCGTGCCTGGCCCTGTTACACAGATCCCATAATGGATGTTGCAGTATTATATACTGTGTAATGTATAACATTATGTTAACTTATCTCTGTCCAAATATATTGTGGACCCCTTGATCAAGCTGTGGAATTTTGGTTAGTGCTTTCCTCTAATGTAGACATAAAGAACTGTCATCTTAGGAAATCAAAAAGCAATTTGGATGTCCAAAGAAAGACAACAAACTGACCAAAGTCTGTTTACCTCTTTGGCATTCAGGAATATACTGAATACTTTTAGACTATAAGTAAAATCTTCATGCTTACCTTGAAAGTCAAGATAATGCTAATAAACAGAAGAATAATAAGGACCAAACACGTAGGATTCACTGACATGACATCATCTCTGTAGGGAAAATTAGGAGGCTGCAAAAGAAAAAGGCCTCATTAGCAAATCTCGTTCATCATTCCAGAGAGTATTCCTTGGGCAGCAATTCAGACACGCTTCTCAGAAAGCAACGGATTAAAGCAGACAGCTATTATTCAGGACCAATACAAAAGTTCTAGCGTGACTCTGCCCTCCTACCACATACAAGTTAGAAGTCACCAGCCTGTATCCAGGGACATTTTGTATATCCAGGGACCTCTGAAATGTTGATTCTCTGCAAGTTCTGAACTTTTTTTTTTTTGAGATGGAGTTTCTCTCTCTCACCCAGCTCAGCTAGTTGGGAGGCTGAGATGAGCAAATCACTTGAGCCTCTGTGGCGGAGGTTGAAGTGAGCCGAGATCATGCCACTGCACTCCAGCTGCCTGGGCGACAGAGCTAGACCATGTCTCAGGAAAAAAGAAAAAAGACAGATGTGGATACATAAGCTTCCAAATACTTAAGAATTGTGATTGGCTTCAGCTGCTGTCCATCTGGGCCTCATCTATACTTTGTTTTTCTCTTCAGATGGAGTTTCACTCTGTAGCCCAGGCTAGAGTGCATGGCACAATCTTGGTTCCCAGCAACCTCTGCCTCCTGGGTTGGAGTGATTTTCTTGCCTCAGTTTCCCAAGTAGCTGGGACTACATGCATGCACCCCCACATGTGGCTAATTTTTCTGTATTTTTATTAGAGATGGGATTTCATCCGGTTGGTCAGGCTGGTTTTGAACTCCTGACCTCAAAAGATCCACCCACCTCAGACTCCCAAAGTGCTGGGATTACAGGCATGAGCCACCATGCCCAGCCTAGTTCTGAACCATTCTAAAGGGTGTATCCAGGGCAAGGGACAGAAACCTATTAAAATCCTGTTTTCCGGGCCGGGCGCAGTGGCTCATGCCTGTAATCCCAGCACTTTGGGAGGCCAAGGCGGGTGGATCACGAGGTCAAGAGATCGAGACCATCCTGGTCAACATGGTGAAACCCCCTCTCTACTAAAAATACAAAAATTAGCTGGGCATGGTGGTGCACGCCTGTAGTTCCAGCTACTCAGGAGGCTGAGGCAGGAGAATTGCTTGAATCCAGGAGGCGGAGGTTGCGGTGAGCCGAGATTGTGCCATTGCACTCCAGTCTGGGTAACAACAGCGAAACTCTGTCTCAAAAAAAATAAAATAAAATAAAATCCTGTTTTCTTTGCAAAAAGCATTTTTGTTGATGATACTTCCTTCAAGAGAGTATATTCTCTTATAACTAGCAAGTACGTCCAGGGTGGTGAGGGTGGGGCAATTAAGTCCTACCATCTGACCACAACACCAGGTCAAAGGGAACCTTTTCAGGAGGATCAAAGTCTGCTACTATGGTTAGAGGGAGTTGCCAGACATTCCCCACAAAACACTCACACAGCATTGATCAACGCCTACATCACTGGCCTAGGGAAGTGAATGGGAAGGCAGCCTACTGTGCTATCTCATCTTTCATCTCTTCACCATTCAATACTATGTGTTTGGATTCCTCATGAGCAAGATTCTAAAACAAAGTTGTTTCCAATGTTGAGGAAGAACATGGAGAAAGCCCATGACTCCTGTGTTTGGCTCCTGCTCACCAGGGTGAACACCATCTAATGGTTTTCAGAGTCTCCTTTCACTGAAAGGAAATCTAATATACTTCCTAATAATCTTAGATATTAGGACAAAATATCTAAGAAATAAAATTGACAATCTTTGTGATCAGATCATGCAATTTTATTCTTTTATTAAGAATTAAAGGCCAGGCGCAGTGGCTCACACCTGAAATCCCAGCACTTTGGAAGGCAGAGGTGAGTGGATCCCAACGTCAGGAGTTCGAGACCAGCCTGGCCAACATGGTAAAAACCCCATCTCTACTAAAACTGAAAAAATGAGCCAGGCATGCTGGCAGGCACCTGTAGTCCCAGATACTTGGGAGACTGAGGCAAGAGAACTGCTTGAACCCAGGAGGTGGAGGTTGCAGTGAGCTGAGACTGCGCCACAGCATTCCAGCCTGGGCAACAGAGGGAGACTCTGCCTCAAACAAACAAACAAATACATAAACAAATAAATTGGCTGAGCATGGTGGCTCACACCTGTAATTTCAGCACTTTGGAAGACTGAGGCAGGCAGATTGCTTGAGTATAGGAGTTTGAGACCAGCCTGGACAACATCACGAAACCCAACTCTACTAAAAATACAAATTTATTCAGGCATGGTGGCACATGTCTGTAGTCCAAAATACTTGGGAGGCTAAGGTGGGAGGATCACTTGAGCCCAGAAGATTGAGGTTGCAGGCCAGGTGTGGTGGCTCATGCCTGTAATCTCAGCCCTTGGGAGGCTGAGGCAGGTACTCACCTGAGGTCAGGATTTCGAGACCAGTCTGGCCAACATGGTGAAACCCCATCTCTACTAAACAAATATAAAAGATAGCAAGGCATGGTAGTGGGTGTCTGTATTCCCAGCTATTTGGGAGGCAGTGGCAGAAGAATCACTTAAACCCGGGAAGCAGAGGTTGCAGTGAGCCAAGATTGCATCACTGAACTCCAGCCTGGGCAAAAAGAACGAAGACTGTCTCAAAAAAAAAAAGAAGAAAGAAAGAAAAATAAAAGAAGATTGAGGTTTCGGTAAGCCTAGGTCACACCACTGTACTCCAGCCTGGGTGACAGAGTGAGACCCTGTCCCCTGGACCCCAAAAAAAGAATAAAATAACTTGGTATTGTTGGGAAATCACACTGTTCCTGTGCCTAATTTTTTTTTTTGTCCTTTAGCACTTGAAGTGGCTTCAGAATGTATCTAATCTTTAAAAGAGATTAAAATGCAAGTATGTGGCCGGGAGTGGTGGCTCACTCCTGTAATCCTAGCATTTTGGGAGGCTGATGCATGTGGATCCCTTGAGGGCAAGAGTTCAAGACCAGCTTGGCAAACATGGTGAAACCCTACCTCTACTAAAAATACAAAAATTAGCTGGGTGTGGTGCCTGGCACCTGTAATCCCAGCACTCTGGGAGCCTGATGTGGGTGGATCCCTTGAGGCTAAAAGATTGAGAACAGCCTGGCTAAGATGGTAAAACCTGTCTCTGCTAAAAATAGAAAAATTAGCCAGGCATGGTAGCAGGTGCCTATAATCCCATGTACTTGGGAGGCTGATAGAGAAGAATCGCTTGAACCAGGGAGGCAGAGGTTGCAATGAGCTGAGATCAGTTGCACCCACTGCACTCCAGCCTGGGTAACAGAGCAAGACTCCATCTCAAAAAATAAAATAAAATAGGGCCAGAAACAGTGGCTCACACCTGTAATCCCAGCACTTTGGGAGGCTGAGGTGGGGGGGTGGAATCACCTGAGGTCAGGAGTTCGAGACCAACCTGGCTAACACGGTGAACCCTGTCTCTATTAACGATATAAAAAATCAGCTAGGCATGGTGGCATGTGCCTGTAGTCCCAGCTACTTGGGAGGCAGAGGCAGAATAGCTTGAACCAGGGAGGAGGAGGCTGCAGTGAGCCAAGTTTGCACCACTGTACTCCAGACTGGGTGACAGAGCGAGACTCCATCTCAAAAAATAAAAATAAAGCTGGCCTGGTACAGTGATTACACCTATAATGCCAGCACTTTGGGAGGCCAAGGCTGGAGGATCACTTAAGTCCAGGAGTTTGAGACAAGCCTGGACAAGATGATGAAACCCCATCTCTACGAAATATACAAAACAACAACAACAACAAAATTCAGTTGGGCATGGTGGTGCATGCCTGTAGTGCCAGGTACTCAAGAGGTTGAGATGGGAGGGTCACGTGAGCCTGGGAGGTCAACACTGCAGTGCGCCATAATAACGCCACTGCACTCCAGCCTGGGTGACAGAGACCCTGTCTCAAAATACATAAATAAAGTTATAGAGGTATTCCAACCTCATAACCACTATAAGCTTCTTAATACCCAGACACTAATATTCACTCATATGGTCACAAAGGACATTTAACCATAAACTAGTCCCAAAATGATGCTTGGGAAAGAAGGGATTCTAGGGTCAAATGAATTTGGGAACTAGTGTAAAGCAGAGGTGCACTTTCTTTTGATTTTTCTTTGTTTTTGAGACGAGGCTTCACTCTATTGCCCAGGCTGGAGCACAATGGCATGATCTTGGCTCACTGCAGCCTCCAACTCCCAGGTTCAGGCAATTCTCTTGCCTCAGCCTCCTGAGCAGCTGAAATTACAGGCATGCGCCACCTCTCCCAGCTAATTATTTTGTTTGTTTTTGAGCAGAATCCTTCTTCTTCCTTTTTTTTTTTTAAAGGCTAGTCAAGTGAAGCAGTGGGACTGGAAAAGGAACAAAGAAATCCGTAACTGGCTGTGATCAATTGGTTGTAAATGCCACTGCACTCAGACCAGCCAAGTTCCACTTTCAATACACTAGCAGAGGCAAAAAGCTATCCTTTGTTGATAACTGAGAAAACTACATTTACCAAAACAAGACTCTTAGTAACTAGACTATAATTTAGATAGTCACATCAAACACCACCATCACTGCCACCAATAATAACCCCAGCCCTCAAAAATTTCTTATCAGGCCAGGCACAGTGGCTCAGGCCTGTAATCCCAGCATTTTGGAAGGCTGAGGTGGGTGAATCACCCACCTGAGGTCAGGAGTTTGAGATCAGCCCGACCAACTAAAAATATAAAATTAGCCGGGTATGTCAGTGCACGCCTGTAATTCCAGCCTCTTGGGAGGCTGAGACAGGAGAATTGCCTGAACCCAGGAGGCAGAGGTTGCAGTGAGCTGAGGTCATGTCATTGCACTCCAGCCTGGGTGGCAAGAGCAAGACTCCATCTCAAAAATAAATAAATAAATAAATAAATGGAAATTCTATCAATTTCAGCTGCAAGCTAAAAATCCTGAAATTAATGTCTGTGTCTCTCTATAACTCTACATCCCTTACTTAACCAGCTTTCCCTAATGAAAAGAAGCAGCAAGTAAGAGGCCCACATACCAGTTGTCGTATGTATTCCTGAATGGAGTTTGGATAAACAAGCACAGTGATTGCAACCAAGGTGTTCAGGGCAAAATCAAAGATCTGGTAACAGAAGAATGGGATAATCCAGGCTGCGTGTTGCTAAAAAGAACAGAAAACAGAAGGTTAATGTGTTCAATATTACAAAATATTATTTTGTTAAATTCAAAGGAATATTTTATTACTCTGAAAGGAAATGGAAAAATTGAAATTCATTAAACCAGGTCATGGTGGAAACTTGTATGCCAAATACAAGCAGTCAACAAACAAGCTTCAGTGAACATTTCCAGGAGGTGGGGTGCGGTGGCTCACACCTGTAATCCCAGCATTTTGGGAGGGTAAGGTGGGTCACTTGAGGTCAGGAGTTCAAGACCATCCCAGCCAACATGGTGAAATCACGTCTCTACCAGAAAACACAAAATCAGCAAGGTGTGGTGGCGCACACCTGTAGTCCCAGCTACTCTAGAGGCTGAGTTGGGAGAATCGCTTGAACCTGGGAGGTGGAGGTTGCAGTGAGCTGAGATTGTGCCACTCCACTCCAGCCTGTGCGACAGAGTGGAGACCCTGTCTCCAAAAAAAAAAAAAAACATTTCCAGAACTGATTTTATTGCTTTTGCTAGTACCATCTAATACAAATGAGAGATTTAAACATTATTCAGAGATTCTTACATAAAGCTGGAAAGTCACTTCTTTCTTACTATAGATAGCAGCACAGATGAAACATGTAAGAGACCGAGGAAAAGGCCAGCATCGTACTGGAAGCTGCTTACCTTGTATGCTCCGTAAGTAGCCATGGCACATATCAGAATCATGAGAACAGAAATCGCAATGGCAATGCACATGTCTGCCAAAACATTAAAAAGAAATTTTTAAAAAAGGCAGTCAGTAGTGGATCCACTGTTTGAACACTTTTAGTCTCTCCCTAAAGGTGTTTTGTAAATAAACTGGTAAAAAGTTAGTAAAAACTTTATATTAAGTAAGAGATTATTTCAAAATAGAGAGGATACAGGTTTAGAGGTATTTTTTAATGTTTGGTCTTCTCGTCCTCTAAACTATATAAATAATGATTAGGTATTACTTTAGAGATACATAGGTGTCTAACTTCTGTTTTATAAATCCATGTGTGCCTCAAAGCTCTAATAAAAGTCTTCATAGATTCCCATCTTATTTAAAATAAAATCTCCACTTATCAAGGCCTTGATGTTCTGATTTCAGAGAATGTCTACCTCTCTAATTTTGCCCCACTTTGTCCCACTCTTGCTCGCTATAAGAGAGCCATACCATCTAATTAATTTTATTTAATTTTTATCTATCTATCCATTTATCTATTTATTTATTGAGATGGAGTCTCACTCAGTTGCCCAGGCTGGAATGCAGAGGTGCAATATCAGCTCAATACAACCTCCACCTCCCAGGCTCAAGTGAGTCTCCCACCTCAGCCCTCTAACTAGCTGAGACTACACGTGTGCTCCACCACTCCCAGCTAATTTTTGTATTTTTTGTTTCACCATGTTGGCCAGGTGGGTCGTGAACTTTTGATCTCAAGTGATCTGCTAGCCTCAGCCTCCCAAAGTGTTGGGATTATAGGCATGAGCCACCACCCCAGCCTTCTTTTTTTCTTTAGCCAGTCTCTGATAAATAAGGGGTGTTGTTCTGTCTCCCAAGCTGGAGTTGCAGTGGTGCGATCATGGCTCACTGCAGCCTCGATTGCCTGGGCATTGGCACTATGCGATTACAGACATGAGCCCCTGCACACAGCCAAACATTTCTTAAAACAACTTACCAGGTACACAAGTGCTTGTAGCACCATTAGTTGCTACAGGTAATAAATATTTAATAAATATTCTTTTATACCTACTCAATATTTAATAAGAAATAATTCTATAAAAATGAACTCCAAACTACTGGGTTTTTTAAACCCCTTTTCTTAGATCTGGCAGAACAAATGATTGTTAATGAGAAAAATAATATTGGTTTTCATTGTACATGCAACTTTTCTAAATGAAAGCTTTGAATATTTTCAACATAAAGATCTAGAGGGGAAAAAAGGATCCTTACACTAAATCTAAATTGCTAAATTGCAAATCACATCCTGATTTCAGAAACATTAAAATGTAAACAACAACAACAATATGCATCGGAGAAGCAGCTGGTGAGGAAAGGAGCAGGAAGAGAGGAATACTGGACACCAGAGCTGATCTAGCTCCTGCTCACCCAGTGGCAAATAGGCTTAGTGCATCTGTGATGGTTAATACTGAGTGTCAGCTTGACTGGATTGAAAGATGCAAAATATTGTTCCTGGGTGTGCCTGTGAGGGTGCTGCCACAGGAGATGAGCATTTCAGTCAGTGGACTGGGAGACACAGACCCACCCTCAATCTGAGTGGGCATCGTCTAATCAGCTGCCAGCCCGGCTAGAATAAAGCAGGCAGGAGAAGATGGACGAGCAGACTGGCTGAGTCTTCTGGCCCTTCATCTTTCTCCTATGATTGATGCTTCCTGCCCTCGCACATCAGAAGCCAAATTCTTCAGCTTTTAAACTCTTGGACTTACACCAGTGGTTTGCCAGGGGCTCTCAGGTCTTTGGCCACAGACTAACGGCCACCTTGTCGGCTTCCCTACTTTTGAGGTTTTGGGACTCAGACTGATCCATCACTGGCTTCCTTACTCCTCAACTGGTAGACAGCCTACCATGGGACTTTACCTTGTGATCGTGTGAGTCAATTCTCCTTAATAAACTCCCTTAAATATATCCCATTAGTGCTGTCCCTCTAGAGAACCCTAATACAGCATCCTAAGATTTCAGTAAGACATTAAGCAGAGCTTTATATAGTATTCTTGTAAGCAATGTAGGGAAATATACACCAAGAAAACTGGTTGGTTAGGCGGAACATCAAGATAAGATGCAGAGTGGCTCAACCAGCTGGCTTCCAGTGCTATTCCAAATCCACACTTCAACACCCTGTTCTCTGCCCCAGGCAGTGATCTGTGCGGCATCCCCACATACAGCTCCTCTGCCCTCCACCCTCTGGTGAGGGAATGAGATCAGATGAGGGAAGAGAGTGAGGGTGCCTTCCACTCTGAGCTCGTCTTGGGTTGGTGATAGACCTAGTCCAAATGTCACTGCTCCTCACAAACAGGTTAAACCTAGGTGGCTGTCTCATTCCCAGCGCCAGTAACTATGGCCTTCCAAGACTATCCAAGTGACTTTACCATCTCTAGTGGTATTCTCATACATACAAAGGTATACCTTTGCAAAAAATCTTCTTGAAAATAATCATCCAGACCAAGGGTGAGCCAGTGGCTCACGCCTGTGATCCCAGCACTCTGGGGCCAAGGAGGGCAGATCACTTGAGATCAGGAGTTCAAGACCAGCCTGGTCAACATGATGAAACCCCATCTCTACTAAAAACACAAAAATTACCTGGGCATGGTGGGGCACCCCTGTAATTTCAGCTACTCGGGAGGCCAAGGCAGGAGAATCACTTGAACCTGGGAGGTGGAGGTTGCAGTGAGCCAAGATGGCACCACTGTACTCCAGCCTGGGTGACAGAGTGAGACTTCAACTCAGAAAAAAAAAAATCCAAATAATTCATTAAATTATCCTTTAAAAAAAAGTCAAGATGTAGAGTATGCTCCCTTTTGAACCATGTGATTTAAAAGAAACAGTTGAAAGAATCAGAGGGAGGATGGATGGAAATACAGAGCCAGGCCAGGCATGGTGCTCACTCCTGCAATCCCAGTACTTTTGGATGCCAAGGTGGATTATCGATCGCTTGAGCCCAGGAGTTCAAGACCAACCTGGGCAACAGAGCAAAACCCCATCTCTACTAAAAATACAAGAAATAGCCGGGTGTAGTGGTGCACACCTATGGTCACAGCTACTTGGGAGGCAGAGGTGGGAGAATTGCCTGAGCCCAGGAGGCAGAGGCTGCAGTGAGCCGAGACTGTGCCAGTGCACTCCAGTCTGGGCGACAGAGCGAGATCCTGTCTCAAAAAATAAAATTAAAGTCATGAAAATAAAGAGCCAGGGCGGTTCCCCTGGCTCAGCTTCCCCTGCTGCTGTAGTTCCATTTCCTCAAGGTCGTCAGGATCTTTGTGCACAAGCCGGCAAGCTGTGCAGGCTGCCAAGGGAGATACGGTATGTGAGTAGAGAGTAGGGAGGCAGCCCAGGGCTCTTTCCATGCCCGGGAACAGTGAGCTTTAGTTTGTGATGCTGAGCGCCATCAGGAAAGCCGGCCCTCCCCAGGCTCGTCACCCTTTTTAGTTGCCGTTTCCTATTTCTGTTTTTATTATCAAAACGTTCAAACATACACATACACGTGTAAGCATACACACAGAAGTACAATGAATCTCATCACCTTTTGCTTATGTTGTTTCATCTGTGATTGCTTCGTTTTTGCCCATTCTACCATTGGTGGAAATATGGATTGTTTCCAACTTTTGGCTATTAGAAATAAAGCTACTATGACCACTTTTATACACGGCTGATGATGGATTTATGAAGCAGCCATTTCTCCAGGGTGTATGTCTAGGGCTGGGTTGTGTGGCGCTCACTCCTGGAGTGTACATGTATCAAGGAATGGAATGTGAGGCCATAACGTAGATGCACATTTAGCTTTACTTTTCCAAAGTGGTTGACATGGTTTACATTCCCAGCCATGACTGGGGAGTTCCCATTGTTCAGCATCGACACCAATAGGTTTTTGTCAACTGTGTTAATGTTGGTCATTTTGAAGGGGCACAGTAATTTACTACTGTGGTTGTAATTTACAATTCCCTGAAACTTATATGTGGAGAATACTCTTGTATGGATATCTTCTTTTGGAGGTGTGTATCTTTCTCTTATTGATTTCACCCAGAACCATTTATTGAAAACACCATCCTGGGAACTATCCAAGATGGCCGATCGCTAACATCTCGGGATTGCAGCTCTCAGTGAAGGCGCGAAGAACTAGAGGACGCCACACTTTCAGACAAATTCTGGTCGCTCACGGAGCAGAAGATCCCCAGTGGAGGAAACACACAGGTCGCCAGCGAGACTCTAGTGGCCGGCGCAGCGGTTCTGCTGGCACCTCGGCGCGGCAGCTCTCGGAGCAGAGTAAACAGGTTTGGAGGACCCACAAGGGCCCCAGCAGGACACCAGAGCCTGGCGCAGCGGCTGTGACGGCACCTCGGCGCGGCAGGGCTCGGCGCACAGTAAACGGGACCGGTTCCCCTTCTGACCAAGGTTTTGAGCCCTGGGAAGGCAGAGTCGCCGGACACAAGAAGGAAGCCCGACAGGAGAATCCTGGGCAGAAAAGCACCATCAGTTTCAACGCTGCTGCTCTGGCCCTAGGAACTAACAACCTGGACGCCCACTCAAGAGACCTAATCTGAAAGTTGGTAATTTCAAAGACGACAGGAGGATAAATTTACAATGACGGGAAGAAACCAGCGTGAAAAAGCTGAGAATACTCAAAATCAGAATGCCTCTCCCTCTAAAGATGATCACAGTTCCACATCAACAATGGAACAAGGCTTGATGGAGAACGAGCGCCTCCTGATGACAGAATCACACTTCAGGGAATGGATAATAACAAACTTCGGTGAGTTAAAAGAACATATTGTAGCCCAACGTAAAGAAACTAGGAACTTTGAAAAAAGGTTTGATGAAATCCTATTGAGAATAGACAACTTAGAGGAGTATGAGTGAAATAATGGAACTGAAGAATACAATACAGGAACTCCGAGAAGTATGCACAGGTTTAAACACTCAAATTGTTCAAGCAGAAGAAGGGATATCAGAGGTCAAAGTCCAACTTAAAGAAAATGTGAAGAAAAGATTAGAGAAAAAAGGATAAAA